TTTCTCTGCATCTCTGTCAGCATGTTTATGATTTTTATTTTGAATTCTTTTTCAGGAAGACTGGTTAGGTCTGTCTCCTTCTCAGGTGTTGTCTCTGTTATCTTGGTCTGCCTGAAATTTTGCCTTTTCATGGTGATAGAGATAGTTTGCAGAGCTGGCACAAGTGATGGCTAGAAGAACTTCCCTTCTTGTTGGTTTATGGCCTTCCTCTCCTGGGAGAACAGCAACCTCTAGTGGCTTGTGCTGGGAAGCTGTGCACAGACGGGGCTTCTGATTCTTGACTGGCCACTATGGAGTTTATCTCTGCTGTTGCTGTGGGCGTGGCCTGCCTCGGGCTGCTGCTCTAATATGGTGGAGCCAGGTTAGAGGGGGAACGGCTGGGAGGCTATTTATCTCCATGAGGGGCCTTCATGCTCCCTGCTGCCCAGGGGGTTACAGTGCCCAGAGTTCCCCAGATTTGTGGAGCCCTACTTTTATAAAAGACATTGGAGGTCCTCTGAAGACCAATGTGTCTTGTAGCCTAAAATTCCTGAGGACTCTGTCATGTACTCAAATTTGTTTGGGATGCCAAATATCCTGCCTCTGGAGAGTGTTTATCAGACCCTTGCTTGGTGCCAGTCCTGTGACAGATGCTGGGGGAGGCAGAGCTGAATAAGACATAATTTCCTGGAATGATAGACCAAAGTACCCAGCAGAACAAAGCAAAGCCATGAGAGATGTAGGGGGCTACTGCTGTGGAGTTGCCACTGCTAGCTGCAGGTTGAGTATGAACCTTACTCAACTTGCGGAAAGTTATAAGTATGGGAAGAAGAAGAGATTAAGGAAAGTCAAGAAGGTTGGATTTGGCCCAGTTTCAGTGTAGAGGAAAAACATTCTAAAGGAAAGATCCTGTAGTTTACTCTGATCCTTTGGGTTTACAAAAGTGAAAAGGAAAAATCGGAAATCATTAAGGACAGATAGGAATGTTAGACTGACTTCCAAGCTAGGACCCTGATTATTAGAGGAGAAGAACTCAAGGGTAATCCTGAGAAAGGAAAAGAGAAGCAAGAGTCCTCTACTCTGTTACCCATTGCTCCTCCAGCTTTTGTTTAAGAGCCCAGGCCTAGAGCTATGAGTTTGTTGAGGGTCAGTGCCTAGGGGTGTGGTTCAAGGGAACTCTCCCCTACCACTCAATCAGCCCCAGAACCCCCCATAACAGTTTGCCAATTAGCAATTTCTTTTATATATTACCAAAGCCCTTACAGTGGATTTCATGTACCTCTCAACCATTTAATGTGGTGGGTCAATTTAATCAGATTGCTGATCTAACAGTGTAGATGGAAAAAGAGAATCAATGTTTTGAGAGAAAGGAAGAGCATCAGACAGTCAGGAGAAGGGAGAAACAGATTGAATCTTTGTACAAGTAGACTTACCAAAGGTGGCAAAGAGACTAGATCACAGAGACAAAGGCTTGAGGTGTAAGAAAAACTTGCCCTTTTCCCAAGGGCTAAGCCTGCCCTCTCCCACTTGTCAAGTTCCTGTCCCCAGTACCCCTTTACGTTTCCTTTCTAAGGAAAGAACTGGCAATCGGAGAAAAATGCCAACCTCAGTGAGCTGAATCAAGGTGCTGACTGGGCACTGGGGGGTTAAAAATGTAGATAAATGGAGACTCTGTTGTCAGGGACTTTACATGGAATATGAGACTTGAATACAAATAATTGCAGTAAGAAGTCATCGCTCAGGGTTAACAGTGAAGTACAGAGAAAGTGGTGTGCAGCAATACAGAGGAAAAGGTCTATTCTGGTTTGAGAAGACAGATCAGGCAGATGTTTTCCATAGGCAGTAGGTTTTGATGGAGGCTTTTAAAAAGGGGGACAGGACTGTGAGAGGTAATGACAGGGAAGGGATTTCAAGAGAAGAGCATGACATGGGTAGAGGTACATGGGTGTGAAAGTATGGGTTGTGTTTATGGAGCAGAGGACAGTCCTGTGGTTTGTCTCTATTGTGAGGGGAGATAAATTTATGCTTAATTTAATGGTAGATGGGGTCCAGATTAGACTGTTGCCTAATTTGGTAGTCTGGGAGAGTGGTGGTGAGGACTTGAAGTAGTAATCAAGGGTTACAGACAGCAGTATCACATCTTACACATACAATGTGTTTTCACTAGCCTGTGAGTGGAAATTAATTCCCCTTCCACCTTTCTGTAGTTACAGGATAGAGAATCCTACATTGCCCTTCTGGTTGGAGCCAAGTATGGGATTAGCCAAATTATCAACAGCAAGCTCAACATCATGTCCACGTTGGCAGAGTTTGCAAACATCAGCCGTGTGGAGCTGACAGAAGAGTCTGAGAAAGTGAGCATGGTCAGAGTGTATCTTCAGGATGTCAAGGTAACACACAAGGAAGAGATTTTGAATCTAGCTTCTGGATTTTGGGGCTAAATCATTCTAGGGTAACAAGTGAGTTTGGATATTAGCAAAGTGTAATGTCGAACATTTTGCTTAAGAGAAAGTATTATCCATCCTGTCCCATCCAAGAAAAAGTGGTGGAAAAGGTATATTTTCTTGGGAAGTTTCCTTTTTTAAAAAAAAAACTGAACTGAACTATATAACTTCCCTGATGGGTTCAGAAACTTAGATGGGTGCACCAGATGGGACTGGGATGGCTGCCTAAGAGTTTTGAGTCGCAGCAACTAAAATGGGTAAATGAGGGCAGGGCACTTCTGGAGCCTCTCTGGAAGGCCTTACATTTACCCTGCCTTTCTTTGCTTTAATCCCAACCTGCCCAAGGGCGGTATTTTATTCTTCTTTTCACCTCACTCTCCTGCATGCGCTCTCACTCCTTTTCCTTTTCCAGGTCAGGTGTTGAATGGGCCCCATTGCATGAATGGACAGGGTGGGGTGGGGTGGTTGGGAAGAGGAGCGGGACTAGGGGATAAAGAGGTGGGTAGGAGACATTTTAGAGATTCGATGGGAGGAGCCCACTGTGTGTGCCCAAGTGTGTGTGTGTATGTGTGTGCGTGCACGTGTATGTGCACTCACACATGCATGTGTGGTTGTGTGTGTGCATGCACCTGCATCAACACTTATTTCAAGTAGCCTGTTGACTATGGCTGAGTTACTTGGAATCTCTCATTGGCCCCATCTGGGCTTGTCAGTGTTCAGACTGTCCCTTTGCTCTTTAAAAGCATAAGAGCTCTCTTTACCTTCAAAGGTTCTCACTTTGCTGCTGGAATCCAACAGTGCGAAAGACCTAGCCTGCCTGGTTGCTGGGTACTACAGACTGTTTGTTGACCCCGTTACTTCCGTTTTCCTCTGGCCGGGAAACAAACAACAGGTGCACCGGGTATCTGCTGAAGAAGGTGAGGTGCTGAGGCTTGCTCCGGTATGGGCAGGCCCATTTCACTGCCTAACAGGAGGGCGAGAATTCATTTGGGCTAAGACTTCCACTCACATAGATGAGAACCATTTCTCCATTTAATTTCTGGTTAATAGTTGATCTTTCCAAAATCCTAACTAGAGAAGTTTTCTCTGTACCTGAGAGTCCCCTAAAACCAAGGAATTCTGTTGAAGGTCTCTGATTCCCTTAGTGTTTCCTAAAATCATCTTAAGATCCACTGTATTTTATCTTTATTTTTCAGCAAGAAGAGATGTCACTTGTTTGTTCAGAAGGTACAGATGACCTAGCTTCTCATTCCACATCTATGTATTCTTTTGCACTCTCGTGAATTATAATAGAAATTCTCAGCCTTACATTACAACCCCTTTAGAAGAAGGGGGTGCCTGGAGATAGAAGGGACTCAAAATCTTATCACATAAGAAATGAAGCAGTGGATGTCGAATGAGGTGAACAGCTTCCCAGGCCAACCTCCGCTTTCTGTCAGGTTTTTGCCTCAGCACTGTTGATGCAGCATTTCCTCACTGATTGGCTAATAAATGTTTAGCAACTGTCTCTGCAGGGAAAATAAAACAAAGCCCTGATTTGAAGCAATTGCCTATTCCATGGTATAAATGCTCCCACCATAGTTAATTTCAAGCTACCAGCGTGATGTCACTGAGCATGAAGGTGGGAAGAGATGCTCAGTAGCACACCACTGTATAGCATATCCTCCATCTGGATAAAATTGGCATAAATAATCTCAAGAGATTAGATGATAGATGAAGGAAAGTAGTTAGGAAACATTGAGTTTGGGGTACTTATTGCCTTTGTCTAACACAATTTATGAACAAGAGATAATACTTCAGAGGCTAGTCAGGGAGAAATGCTGAGTGGGAATGGTTGGGGAGGTCTGGTGGTGGAAGGGACGGCTTCTGCAGGGCAGGTGGCAGTGGGCAGAGGAGGAGGTATTTGAAATAGATCTTGAACTTGCTGGAGTTAACCAGGCAAAGAAAAGAAGATAGATCATTGAAAGCAGAGGGGACAACTGGAGGCGTGACACAAAGGGCATGGTCACAATCTGCGAAAAGCTCTGTGGTCGCGGTGGCAGGCTGCCAAGGAGCTGTCAGGGCCGTCCTGTGAGAGGTCGTGACGTCGGGGGAGAGCTCAGGCTCCTCCCTGTAGGCAGGGGAGGCCATCAGAAGGTTCAGGTAGAGTGTGACATGCTCAAAGGGAAGTTTTTAGAAAGATCATGCAGGAGGCTTGTAGAAAAGAAAGCAGGTAGAAAAGAAAAGAGATTGGAGACCTGGCTTAATGCCCCCAGACTTCCCACCCATGAATTCTTCCTGAGCACTAGCAGCTGAATGAGTTTTCAGTGTGTTAAAAGCCCTGGAGCACCAGTGGGTCCCCAAGGCCTGGCTTCAGAATGGTGTCAGCCTAGCAGCTCAGAATCCCCCATAAAGTTGCTGAAAAAACAGATTCTCAGGCTCCACTTCCTAGCTCCTTGGCTCGGTACATCAGAGCTAGGGCTAGGGAATTGTTTTATTTTTAAAATATGATGCCCTACCTGATTTTAATGCCCAGATGGGGCAGAGAGGAGATTGGAGGAGGGGCTTAGCAAACCTGGGTGATGCTGCCTAGAACCAAGTGAAATCCAATTAAATACACACCATGTTTCCATGAAGACATAGCTGCTCTTGGAAGTAGGGATGGAGGTAATACCATTCTCTTTAGGTGGTTCAGATAGACGTGGGAAAGGATGCCCAGTGATGTGGGAAGAACATGGGATTTGGCGTTCCCCAGAGCCTGTGTCAGCCAGTATAACATGATCTGGGTCAGTCAACCTTCTGGACCTCAGTTTTCTCATCTGGAAAATGGGAGGAAGGAGGACATTTAAGCACCTGCCAGTTCATGAATGCTGTTTTGTAACCCTCAGTGTCCCCTGTGCTGCAGGCTATGAATCCAGGGCATGCAGCGACTCAGAAGAGTCCTCCGAAGTAGACTGTGTGCTGGAGCCTCTCTCTGACAGACACCTGCTGATGCTGGGCCCCTGCAGACTGCTTGTAAAAGAGGAACAGCCTCCTGGGGACAGTCCCATGTCTGAGGGGGCCAGGAAAGGCCCAAGCCCCTGCGGGGTCAGCAGCATGACAGACAGTGCTGAGTCCGAGGCATCTGACTCGGCCAACACCGAGAGCCGAGGCTGTAGGACCAGTGGCTCCAGTGAGTCCGTGGATGCCCTGGAAGAGGACGACTTTGACGCCTGCTCCTCCAGCCAGTCCGGATTCTTCCACTTTGCCTCGCCAGGCTTCCCAGAGGGTCTTGATTCCAACAACCAAGAGGAGAGAAGCAGGGTTGAAACCAGCAGCTTCCTCTGTCTCCTGGACCTGGCGCAGACACCCAACCCTCCATTCCAGAAGACAGAGCTTTCCGAGAGTCCCACTCCTGAAACATTCAGCTGGGGACCTGAACTGAGTGCAGCCAGGCTGGACCCCAGGCTGCATGAGGGCAGCAGGACCGACTACTACAGCCTGTGCTCCAGGGTCTCCCCCGCCAGCCACCTGAGCGACAGCTCAGAGAGCACAGCTTCCTGGCAAGGTGGGGACCTGCTGGCCTTGGGGCAGCAGGGCTGGACAGAGGCTCAGCCCAGCTCTAGACTGGAAGCCCTGGCCTTTGAGGAGGGCAGCTCGGATGAGGAATATTATGATGCAGCTGACAAGCTCACACCCCCTGACGTCCTCTCAGGTAAGCCGTCCCCAGCAAGTCTGCACACCCGGCAGGCAGCTCCTGAGTACCCACTGTGGGTAGGGACCAAGCTTGAGTGGAAAACACATAGGTAGAGCAGGGTCTTGTCTTTTTCTGAGGAAGTCCACCTGGGCTTAGGGGACCAGATTACAAGCATCATGACTTCAAGTCAGGGATAAAAGGGAGAATCAGAACTGTGGGTATGCAGAGATAAGAGGCATTAATTCAACAGTGGGAATCAGGGTTGGCTTCCAGAAGAGGTGGCAGATGGGCTGGGTCTTGTGAAATGGACAGAATTCACCTAGAAAGAGAAGGGTTTGACTAGAGTCCCCAGCAGAGGGAAGTGGCCATGTCATTGTTGACTCCAAGGCAGCATTAAATGAGACCTTGAAGCAAGAGGAACCTAACTGAGAGATGGCTGGTGCCCCTCTGGGTTCTGACCTGGCTCCTGACTCACCGTGGGAGCCTCTTTTTTCCTCTCCCCTTCAAGGCCTCATCACCCAAGGGCCTAGTTTAAATGCTACAGATTCCAAGGTCCCCGCCTCAGAGATTCTGACTGAAGAGGTGTGAGAAGTAGCCTAGGACTTGATAAGGTTTTTAATAAGGTACAGCCAGGTTGGAAACAGTGGGTCTGAGTATAAAAGCCCTCTGATTCTCAAGTGCTAGGCTGTGATTCCAATTCCTCTGGCTGATTCCCAGGACTCTTCACAGAAGTGCTTCTCCACTCAGAAAGATCCATCCTGGTTTGCACAAAACCCCTCATGCCTGCATCGAAGAGTCGTGGCCACTTTTTGTTCAAGGAAAGCGCCCTTAGAACCCTCACTTGTGTAGTGACAGTAATAACAACAGCTTCCTCCAGGGAGCAGCTGTCAGGCACAGGTCTGTGCTAGGACTTCGATATGCACTAATGCACTTACCTGCCTAGCCGTGCTGACTGATACCATTGGTACTGACTGACTTGGGCTAACATAAGCACAAAAAAGAAGTGTTGGAAGGATGTAAGATTATAGAATTTCCAGCACAGGTGGAGAACAGCTCAGGCACCAGAAGGAACCAGATCAGGAGGTTGGATAGCAGGATTTCTCATCATACAGTCAGGATCCTGTGGCTGCAAAGAATGGGATCTACTTTTACTTATTTATTTTTCAATCAATGTGTTTGAGTTTGAAATTCTAGGGAATTTGTGGCTGACTTTCTAGGTCATAACTCTGGCGTCTTGGCTGGTATGGTTAGGGCACCTTCCAACAGACCACTGGGGAGATAGATGTCATTTCCTGAAAGGAAGTTAGGGTGCTGTGACCAAAAGACAATGAAATGGATCTTGGGCAACCAAGAATAAAAAATGCCTGCTGCAGTTAGTATCACCAGATGAGGAAAGTGAGCAGGTCAAGATGTCTGAGGTTATACAGCCCAGCCAGGATTTGAACCTAGGCAATCCTGAGCCCTGAGCCTATGCTCTGTAAATGTATTTTTATGCTTTTCATGTACTTTTTCTTTTCTTGATTCTCAGGGCCCAGAGCTATGTCTGCTGGAGAACCCAGTGCCACAGGCTTGCAGAATAAGGCTAGTTCTTGCAGCCCTGAGGACAGCCTGAATCCCCCAGATGGAAGACAGCCAAGCAGAAGGGGAGGAGTGAAGAAGTATGCAAAGACTCTGAGAAAAAGAAGGTCTTTCCTACAAACTGACTACACCTGTCAGGTCTCCTTTCCCCTTGTGCCATCAGCCTCCCTGGAGAGCATGGACGACTTGTGCTACTATGACCGGCAGCCCTATCTTGCCCTCAGTGCACCCTCACCTACTGTGTCCTCTCTGCAGGACATGCAAGGTGAGCCCACCCTCCTGGAAACCAAGGCCCTGGGGCTGCTGGCTCCCCTGAGGGAGACCAAGAGCAAAAGCCCAGCCTCCCGGATCATGGAGATGGAGCCTGAGACCATGGAAACCAAGTCGGTCATCGACTCTCGAGTGTCTTCTATTTCTGCCATTCGCCTCCGGATTGATCCCAACCATGAAGAAAATTCTGAGATTGCCCCTTTGACAGCTACTGTTGCCAGTTCCCCAGCAAGCAGCCCTCACTGTTCCAACCCAGGCTCATCTAGCCCAGACACAACTCAGGCAGGACCTTCCCAAACCTTATCTCCATCTCAAGACTTGGATGGTAGTGCCCCCAAAGAACTTGCTGCAGAGCTTGGAGATAGTACTTCCTCCCTCTCTGGTGCTGGCCCAAACCCAAATATAATCTGCCTGGCCATCAGCCCAGGGCCTCATATTGGCTCTCAAGGAGATACACTAGAGCTGGGAGGAGCCCAGTTAGAAACAGGACTGGGATTCTTGCTGGCAAATCATATGCAAGAAACTACCCCCAAATACATAGGCCCTTTGTTGTGTACTCAGGATAGGCCTGCAAGTGGTGAATGTGGAATTAATCCAGGAGAGAAGACAGCTTCTTTCCCTACAAAGGAGGAAGAACAAGAACAATTCTCTCTGGAACATGATGGAGAAGTTACAAACAAAAATGGCAACGACTTATTACATGATGAACCTGGGGAGGATTCGGGTGATGCCAAGGGTGCCACATCAGATGCTGTTGCACAGACAATCAGTGCACCAGTTGGTGGAGTAACAGCCGCGCTCTCCTTGGGGACTCCTGTAACAGGGACTCAGCACACCCCAGCACGTTCCCCCACAAGCCCCCAGGAGCAAAGCAGAGAAGCCCCAGGCCAAGCCCATGAGAAACAGAAACTTTGGGCAGAGCTGGATTTAGACCCTGATTTCTTACTTCAGGACCAGACTGTTCCATCAGGCTTCCCACTAGCGGTAGTCAAAGCAGAGCCACTTAACCACGTGATGGGGGAAGATACCATCCCTAGGGACACACCTCAGCAGGCCTGTTTGAATCCAGGAAGTTCTCTGCCAAACTTACTACCATGTCCCCAAGAGGAGCCCCACTTAGAAAGTTTAAGCCATTGTTCTCTGTCAGAAAGCAAAGAGAAAAGCCCTAGCATCTGCCTTCCTGCTGAGAAGGCTTTCCTGTGCTTTGCGCCAGAAACCCATCCTAAAGTTTCCGCCAGTCTCAGGATGGCCACATCTTTGGGGTTTGCAGGTATGAATGAGATGGTGGCACCCAGGATTGGGATGGAGCAGTGCAGCTGCCAGTTCTCCTATGCCACATGCTTCCATGGCCTGCAGCCAGAGACAGAGGAAGAAGACAGGGACTTGGAAGCACAGCCCACAGCCCCCCTCACATCACCTCCCTCTGCAGGGAGCTGGTTGGCCCTGCCCTGGAGGCCTGCCAGGGCCCACAGCTGCAGTGCCCAGCCCCTGTTGAGGAATAGGCACATCTGGCCAGAGTACTGCTCCAGGGCTCTCAGACAGCTGAGAGCTTCCCCTACCGGCACTGCTGAGGCCTTCATCCAACTCATGGAGAACTTGCTGGAATTACAAGACATTTTAGAAGCATCCTGGGGGAATGGGAACAAACACCCCCCAGAGAAGTGCACCTGGCATTTTTCTGAAAGCCGGGGCCGCCTCTGCATGGGCTCCCAGAAACTTCTGTCAAGCTGTCAGCATGTGATCAGAATGGACCAGTCCCCGGAAGAGATGCAGGGTGCTGTGCATGACACCTTCCAGCACCTGGTCCAGCTGGCTAGCATGTGCTTCCAGTTCACACACTGCAACCGCTGCTCTGCCCGGCACAGGGAAGTGGTGGGGAACCTGAGGGATGTGGTATACTCCTATCACCAGTTTGTGAAGGCTGCTAAGGTGACCTGTGAAAGAGGCTACCACGACCTGAGTGTGAAACTCTTGGTGCGTCAGTGCACAGCCCTCACAGCTGCTGTGTTCTGTCTGACCCAGAAGTTCCGGGCATCCACTGCCCTGTGAGCAGGCCCTTTGCCCAAGCCCCCAGCCCTGCCCTGTCTTGGACACTTTTCTGAGAGGCTCCTTCCATTCTTCCACCCAACCCTCTCAAATGTTTACTGTTTAGAGTATTCAAATAAACTCCTGCTTAATCTTGGCCTGAGTCATAGAGTGATGATGAGTTTGGGTCAGAAGCTCATATTCAACTCATATTCATTCAACAAACATTCACTAGGTACCTCCTCTGGGCCCAGCCATGCACTAGGAGCTTAGGATATAAAGATGAATAAGACAAGTCCCTGTACCTGGTTAGGATGCTCACAGACACTCGTGGTGGGATTGGGGGGGAACTACAGATAAATATGTCACCATCAGTAAAGTGTGCACTCTAACACGTGCATACCCTGAGGTGTGCAGAAGCAAGGGGATTACAAACTATGCTAGGGAGGTGGGAATGAAAGAGGAAGGTAGAGGTCACTGAACAACAGTCTTGACTTCTCGTATTGATTTGGAAATAATCTTTGCAAATAGGAGTGAATACATATGATGCAGGGTGCTGTGTATGACACCTTCCAGCACCTGGTCCAGCTGGCCAGCAGCTGGTTTCGGTGTGCAGCATCTGCACCTGGAGGCCTGGTATTCTGCAACAAGCACAGGTTGCCACTAGGTGACAGTAAGTTCCTTAGTTGCATAGCCACCCACAGCCAGGTATGTTCTGTGATTTATCTGAAATTGACAGCACCCCTGAATCCTGCATCCTACCTCCATTTTAAATATAGAAAAAGGCAAACATTAAAGTCCCAAATTAGATTTGTCTTTTTAGGAATAATATTAGGGCAAGAGAAATATATCCAGTATCATTCTCACTAATCCCAGCTGAGCCAGTTAATTCCAATTAATCTCGGTGGGACCATGGAGAAACTACTGAAGCTTTCAGTGCTTTGGTTTTCTCCTGTAACTGAGGGTATGAAGAGTGCCTGCTTTACAGGGTAGAAATCTAGCAAATGCTCAATCTAGTGAATAGCCAAAACAAGTTAGTGATAATCTCCAAACTTTATGGATGCCTCTCCTAATCTAAAATCCTTACCTGTGTTTTGTTTTCATACTCCAGGGAAACTGATTTTGAGATATCCTTAGGAAGCCTTTTTTTCCTTGACTTCTCTGTTCAGGCCAAAGGTGGTTTAGACACTCACTTTCGGGTGTTAGAGTTCATTCAAGTGGTCTCTTTATCCCTTTGGCATCCCTGATCATTTGTAGTCTCAGTGCTGCCTCTCCACTGGCTCCTTAATTCTTCTGTGTCACCCAGAAAAAGCACAGCCAGAGATGAGGGTGTTAAGTCACATACCCAAGCTCTCACCTGTTAGAAGGAAAGCAATACTTTGGGAGAAGAGAACAAAAGACACACTTCCCATCTCCTATTACCAGTTACTTGCTGATTAATAACCAGTTAACCAGTACCTGTCCTAGGGAAAGATTTATTTTCCTTAGAGGCCTATTTCTTTTCACAGAATATTTTGAATAAAATTTAAATAAGGCTCTTGAACACAGATCTGAAGTGATTTCATGGCAATGAAAAATAGGAACAATAGGATACCAAAATTAAAAATATATGATAAACAGGACTTGAATACTTTTACCAGCAGAAAACTATGAAGAGCTACACAACTTACTTATATGAACACTATATGTTCACAGATTTAGGGAGGGAGCTCACAGTTACAATCAGGGCTTAAATCCTGGCAGTGACATTATAGGCATTATGGGCCTGTTTCTCCATCTGAATACTCGTCTCATCTAGTGAAGGCTACCATGTGAGAGATGCCTTATTTAGATAAGACAGTTGAATACATTTTCTTATCAACATGACAACACCCCAAACTAGAGATTGTTATATAATATCACTCAGCATTATTGTGAGAAATAATCATGAATGGCAGAAGGAAGACTGTGAAGCCTCCAACACAGGCACTCAAGTGTGTGTTTCTGTGTTTTGCTTCCTCTCCCTTCAAATCCATTAACTTTCTTGAGTTGCTACTGCATGGAGCTGGTATTTTGCCCTGCAGTTCCCATGAGAAGTACCAAGTGCCAGAAGTTCTGGGAAGCCTCTCAATGCTTATTGAGAAGCTGAAATGCAGGAAGGGTTGCCCTGTTTAGCAGTTTCTTTGAGATATACAGCCCCCTACATGAGGAAGGCAGACTAGGATGACCTATTACCTAAAGCAAGGGTAAATTATTTAATGACTAAGAAACTAGTGAACATTTATATTCCTCCTTCCTTTTCCCACTCACTGTAATACTGGCTGGTTCATTTATTCAAATGAACATTAATGGTACACCCACGCCAGGTGATGCCTGATGCAGGATTATGGATGTAAGTAATTGGGAAAGAATCATATATGCAAAAGCTCCTGATCCAAGGGATAAGCATGGTGTGCTCAGGGCCACCAAAGGGAACAGATAAAGTGCTATGAAAGCCCAAAGGAGGAAAGTCATATGGGGTGTGTGTGTGTGTGTGTGTGTGTGTGTGTGTAGGAGGCAGCATTAATTAGAACTAATATGGCAAGATGTATTTATTGAGTAGCTACTGTGTGTCCTGGATTTGATAGACAGGAAGGTAAGTTTTGGATGTGTCAAGAAAGGAGAAAGAAATCACTCACTTATTCTGTCAACAACTATTTACTATGCAGCAACACAGGGAATATAACCATCAACATGATAGATGTACTCCCTTCAGGAATTTATAATTAGTAAGAAATACACAGAAACAAGCAGAAAAAGATTACTAACCAAGAGATGATATAAAGATAATGAAGAAATAGGGATAGGAGGAGCCACTCTTACCTCAGATGATCAGTAAAGGCCTCCCTGAAGAGAAAATGTTTAAGCTGAAGCCTAAAGGATAAGAAGGAGCCAGCCTTCTTATCTTGAAAAAGGGAGAGGAAAGGGAATAGGATCCCCAAACGCCTTTAGTGTGTTTGAAGCAATTCAAGAACACAGGTGCAACTAGAGCACAGCAAGCTGGAGAAAATGATAAGGTTGGAGGGGCAGCTGTGAAAGGTCTTAGAAAGGTGAGATTTTACATCCAAGAACAATGAAGCCACTGAAGGTTTGGAGTAGGGTGACACATAGTCACTTGGCAAATGGGTGGAGGCTGGGAAGTGGGGGTAGGGAGTGGGCAGTGAGACCAGCTAGGAGGCCTTTCTTATGGGGAGGTGGCCATGAAGTCATTCAAAGGTGAAGTGACGAAAGAACAGTGGTAGGAAGAGGAGACAGGTTTTCAGTATCACTGAGTGCAAAGTGTATAGGAACTGGTAGGTGTGATGGGAACTGTTGAAGACAATTTGAGCCACCTTGTAAGCCCTGCTGAGTGGGAAGGCAGGGCCAGCCTCTGAGCAGAGAAGACACATTAGAGCTGGTTTTAGAAAAAGCCTTTTGAGGGAAAAAGAATGTTTCATTTTAGCATTTAAAAATGCTCCAGTAGGAGGTAAAGGATGGATTGAAGCATGGACTGGGGCCAAGTGGGAGGTGCTAGAGGAGCTATGGAAGACAAGTCTGGAGGAGGAAACATTGTGGGGCCGAGGAGGAATCCAGCAGGGCTGTGGTTTCTTGGGCAGGAGCTATTTCAGGCTTGTTCATGTTAGGATCTCTCTGAAAGGATGAGCCCCCTAGGACTGTAGGAATAAAATGAAGAGTGGCTGATAGTTTTTATCAGGCTACGGCTTAAGGCAAGTTGTTTCAGGTCCTTGAGCCTCAGTTTCCCTGTGGATATGTGATGTGAGATGGAAAAGGGAGAGTGGGCAGAGGCTAGACTCACTGTTACCTGCTCAAGCCCAGATAACTCTGTTGTGAGTCTGGACAGCCAGGTAGTGGTGAGGGGGGTTGTGTCAGCTCATGGGCCCTGCTGGTAGTGGGGAAACCCAGGGCAGGACAAGGTGCCCAGGCTGCAAGCTGGGTCAAGTCTGGTTTCAGCCCAGTTTTGCAATGTTCAGTCCTTCACAGACATCAAAGCTCCTGGCCACCTTCAGCGACTCTGTGAGTAGGGAAGGAGCTGGGATTATACTTCCCAGCTAACAGACAGGGAACTGAGGCTCAGAGAGGTGCGGTAACACTTCCAGCGGGTAGCAGCTCCTTAGTGGCAGGGTCGGATGTGGAAGTCCAAGCCTGCTGGCTCTGGTCCTTGCAGAGAAGGGGGCAGGCTGAGAACTACGATTCCCACAATGCTATGGGGCGGGGCAGGAACCGGAAGTGAGTCTAGAGTCGGGGCCTGATGAGAGCAGCTGCCACTGCTTGAGGTGAAAGATCCAGGTATGCTGGAGGGTCGTTGACTGGCGGGAAAGGGGCTATGGGGTCTGACTTGGGATTGCAGCCTAGTTCGTGAGCGGAGAAGGCGCCAGAGGAGCGGCGTTCAACAGTCGTGTGGCCTGGGGTCATCTACCTTCTTATTGCTGTCCCTTCCTGCTTCCACTCTGGCTCGCAGCCAGCGGGCCAGGCGGGGCCCAGGCGGGTACTGTAGGGCCTGGCGTCGAGGTGTTCTTGTGATGAAGGTACCAGAGAAGTGGAGCCAGCTTCGGTGGACTAAAGCAGAATGAGAAACTGGGAAATGTGCAAACAGAGGCTGCCCACACTTAGTGTCCAGGGGTATGCTCATCAGGTGGGACGGGTTAGAAAAGATCTGAGGCCTCTGTCACCTCAGAACTAGGGGTGCGGGGGAGGATTTATTGAGTTTGTTATATGCCAAACCTTCTAGGCGTAGAGGATATAGTAGTAAACAAAGCAAACAGAACACTTGCTTACATTATAGGAATGGGAAGTTCAGACAAAAAAATAATACGTGCCATGCTAGATAGTGAAAATCTGAATGAAGTTAGGAAGGTAGTCCTTTAATTATCTAGGGGAAGAGCTTTGGAGGAAGAGAGAACAGCAAGTGCAAAGGCCTTGCTTGGTATGTTTGAGGAATAGTAGACCGCTAGACAGTCAAGAGAACAATTGTTGGGGGAGGTAGACCTTAATGATCAGTATAGGCTGTTGTAAGGATTTGGGTTATTTACTGTAAGTGAAATGGCGAATGCTTCATGGTTCTAAGCCGAAGAGTGGCATGATTACCAAACACATAGGATGCTTTTATTTTGTGAGGCTCGATACTGAGTAAGGGGAGGTGTGTGTGCATGTGAATTCCTCGTCCCCTCTTCCCTAGAAGGGTTTATAATCTAGGGGAAACAGACCAGCTATCATGCAAGGCTGAGTCAGATAATTGGAGCCCCATGAAGGCAGAATAAACATCATCCCCAAATCCTTAACATGTCAAGAGCTTAGTAAATATTTCTTAAATGAAAAATTAACTGAATAACCCCAGTACCTGGCCCCAGGACCTGTAATAGAGGCTCAGGAAACATTTTTTTTTAATGAAGAAGCAAAATGCTGAACCTGGGCTTAATGTCTCATACAGATTAAATATATCTCTGCTTCTGGATGCCCACCTTTACCTTTGCTTTCTGAGGATCACTAGGTGGCAAGCTTCTATTCAATATTTACTGAGTTTCTATTCTGTGCAAGGCCTTATGCTGGCCACAAAAGATGCAAAGATGAAAAAGATGTGATCTCTGCTAGTGCCTGACAGACTCTTCTGGTAGTGGTTGGAGTTGCCTTTGTCTGATTTTCAAACTCACTGTATCCCCAGTTCTGGTCCGGAAAACATCCTTAGAGACTAGAGGAGTTTGGAGAGGTCTGAGATAGAAGGAAGGGCACAAGAAGGAAGGGAAGAGGGGTGGTGGTGGTAAAATTCAGTTCAGTTCAACAAATCTTTATTCAAATGCTGCTGTTGGCAAGGTTTTAATTGTGAGCTGTTCAGTGTTTAGGTAAATATAGGTACATAGTCCTTCCTGCAAAGGAATTCAGTTTAGTGGGAGAGAAAAGATGAGCATAGAGGTTCCAGTTTTCTAAACAACAGTGGAGAACTCTGAAACCCCTGTAGCCATTCTAATGCTTGCTCTCTTTTCTCCTCAGCCGGACTTCCTCAAATGAGACATCCACATTCTTGTCTCCCAGTCATTCCCCAAAAGAGTCTGGCACAGAAGGAGGAACCTAGTGAGTATTTACTGACTGAATGAATGAGCAAACACAGGTAAGAATGCAAAATGCTGTGGAATTCAGAGGAGGGAGATCATATGCTGTTAACAAACTAGCATTCATTCAACAGATTGGTGTTTGTTTTCTACCCTAGTGGAGTTATTAGGTATTGGACCAGTTTGTCTTAAAGTTTTCATTTGTTCTTTTATAAATACTTAAGTGCAGAAAAATGAAGATGACTGATGGTTGGCATAACAAAGTTTGTTTAGTCATCTAAAGGAAGGTCTTTTGTTAAAAACGTTATTTGTAATGAACATTGCTGCTCATAGGTGAACATGCAGCACTTTTAAGAATAACTTGGTATTTTCCTATTTCTCTAGAAATGTATACTATTAAATTTGTTCATGCTTTAAACTCATAGTGACACAGTCAGTGGTACAAATAAGTATATTAAAATTTATACTGACTTAAAAAGGGATTTCTAAGCAAAAGTAAACTTTAGCTTGGCAGGCAAGTGAACACAAATTTCAGATCTGTAATTTTGAAAAGCTAGCATGTGATTTACTTGGCCATCTTCAGGAATACATCTGGTGGTCAGATGTTCATATGATGCATGATGAATACCCAAAACTGCTCAGAAGACTTTTATATTTTTTTGAAAAACTGAAAGAACAACACTGGAGAAGTTTGAACAGCCAGTATTCAATGCATACTTGTTCTATCTTGGGTAAATGAATTATGTCTAGTTTCTGCAGCAGTCCTGGGCGGTAGTATCATCCTGTCTCATAGAGGTAATCTATGGCAGAGTTAAGAGCTTTGGCTGTTGTCCCACTGCTGACAAGTAGCAAGTTGGGAAGCATGACAAAGACTGCTATTTTTCCATTACCACAGCCTGTTAAGTATGTCTAAACTAAAAACAGAACTAAAATTTGGTCTAATTTTGAGAATTTGATGGAGTACTAGAAAAAAGCAATGTGAACTCAACACTAGAAATGTTTTCTAGGAACCGGAATGGGAGTCAAAACACTGGAGAACAAAATGTAATTCTCACACTACCTGTCTCTGCAGTGGGTAATATTTATAGTTATAAATGTGGTTTTATTGTTTTACAAATTTTAGAAACAGGCATGGGATAGGCAAAGTGCAGAAGTCTTAATTTTGATGACATGACATAATGTAAAACCTGCCTTCACCATTGTAAAATGAAAGCTTTTGTAATGTAAAGTAAGGTTACCAAAGTTGGAAAATTAAAGGAAGAAGGGAGATGGAAGGAAACATAAGACTATTTATGTTCACAGCCCAATATATTGAGGAATCAAAGAATACTATTTAAGGTTGTTGAATGAGAAGTAGAAGTTTAGAAATATTCTTAAAAATAGTAAAGATGACTTCTGGTAATTATGAGAGAGGAATGGGTATTGGACTTACCTTCCTACAGTAAAAACACAAAAGCAAAAAACTGTAAAACTGGGCAAAATATATGAAGAAATTGTTTTTAGGCATTGGACAATAGGTAGGACAAGACTGTTATCCTTTAGATAAATGAATTTGAGATACAGACTGACGTGTAAAAGCTAAAATTGTAAAGCTTCCAGAAGGAAACAGAGATTACCTTTGTGACTTTAGGGTAGACACAGAAAGACACCGAAAAGCATTTTTAGAGGACACAGAAAGCATTAACTAGAAAAGAAAAAAATCAGTAAGTTAGACTTGTTCAAAAATTTTAATTTCTGCTGAATGAAAAGCAATGTTAAGTAAATGAATAGGCAAGCTACAGACTTGGGGAAAATATTCTCAACACGCATGTCTAAAAAAGGACTTATTTGCAGAATATATGATAAACACCTATAGCTCATTAATAAAAAGATAAAAATTAGCCAAGGACTTGAGCAGAAATCTCACAAAAATATATTATGAATGACCAATAAATTGCATGAAAAGTGTTCGGTATCATTAATAAAGAAATACAAATTAAAACACAATGAAGTCCCATTACACAAGGATGGCTAAGATTAAGAACCCTAACAACAGCAAGTGTTGGTGATGATGTGGAACATCTGGAACTCTCCTACTTACTGACAGCCTATGAAATGGTACAATTACTTTAGTAAACTGCTGGCAGTTTCTTATGAGTTAAACAGATACCTGTCCTGTGCCCCAGTGATTCTACTGTTAGGTACTTAGCCAATAGATATGGAAATATATATATACACAAAAACACTTGAGTGAGAATGTTCATAGCAGCTTTATTCATAATAGCCTCAAACTGGAAAAATCTTAAATGTCTGTCAACAGGAAAATAACCAAATTGTGGTATACAGTGGAATGCTGCTCAGCAATAAAAGGGACAAATTAGTGACATGTGAAGCAACAAGTATGAATCTCAAAAATATGTTGAGAGGAGAATGTCAAATTCAAAAGAGTGCACACTGCATTTATATGATGTTTTATAATAGGCATATCTAATCTACGTTATAGAAAAAACGATGGTTGCTTTTGGCAGGCAGTGCAGTGGGATGGAGATTGAAATGGAAAGTGTAGAACGAAGGTAACTTTCTGGAGTCATGGCAATGTTCTATGTTTTGATGGGAGTGTGGGTACCATAGGCCCTATACATTTGTCAAAAATTTATTGAATATTTTGCCACACACCCACTCATTACCGAGTAATACTTGTAAGAATCTTTGCGTTTTACTGTATGTAAATTATACCTCAGGAAATCTAAAGGTCAAGGTAACTAGAATAAGAAGGGTTAATTTAAGTGATTTCAATTCTAATTTTTATAGGGTGTTGATAAAATTCAAAGTTGAATCAAGAAGTAATGGGTGTAAGCCTATGATTTGAGGTTAAGGGTTAATTACCAGAAGAAGTAAAAACACCTGGTTAACAAGAGTTGGAGTGAGGATCACTACTTTTCATTATAAATAGACCTTTTAATCATAAGATCATTTTGCATAGATTTACTTTTTTGAAGATAAGATTTTCCTCAGGTGGCAGGCAGCACACTGGACTCACAAGCAGCCATGAACGGTGGTCATACCATTCTTTGTGACAGGTAGCCATAGACCAGACACTGATTTATGTCTCTCAGGGATTTGAGCACCACTTTGAAATAACATCATTCATTTAGTGTTCTGAAACAGTGGTTCTCCATATTGTTCTACCTAAGCACTTCTGGTGGGCATTTAACATTCCCACTGGTGACTGTGGCTTTCTACAGCATTGAAACTTAACTGAGTTGAGGGAGGGAATACATAGTTTGGAAAAATTAGTTCTGATATACCACCAGAACCTAGAAGAATTCTTTGTTGGTTTTGGGCCGCTCTCTACCATATGTTTTTGTCTAGCTCTTCATCCTCTCAAGATGTTTCTAGTACAGGATCTTGCAAACAGTAGGTGCTCATTAAATGTTTGCTAAAGGAATGGTTTTGAAAATAAGCATAATGGGGGAGGTGGCTTTTGCCATTCTGTCCCACCCTCATACATACATTTCAAAGAACACAGTAAACGACTTGGTTATCTATGTCAGTGCGGCAGTGAATCATGACTGATTGTTTGGAGGTGTCTGGAGTTGTGCTTGTCTCCTTAAAAGCATTGGCTTCCTTACTACTGAAATGTTTCTGTGCTAACTCATTTCTCTGGAAAACACATACGCTTTTTTCAGTTAAAAAAATCTGTGTTAGTATTTTACACACTTATCCTTCAATAACACAATAATACCATTTGTCATTTGAATATAGGGAAATACCTCTGTAAGTGAATTAATGTACTGTCTCACATAATTGTGCCTTTTTCTAATCTGGGTAAAAAAGGATAGAGGACTAAGCACATGGACTGGAAATTGGAAGGGAGTGCTTGGAAAACAGAGTCCCCTGAGCTGCAGGAGCGAGAAGTCATTGTAGAGGACACAGGAGAAGATGGCATCTCTGAAAGCTTCCAGCTTCTACAGATTGATGTGGAATGCCAGCATCGGGAGGAGGGAGAGACCATGCCCACAGGCAGTGCGATGTGGTGCTCGGTAAGTGCAGTGAGTTGCCCGATCACGGGCTTTGAGATGATGGGGTGTCCCAGAGACCCCTGTTTTAAGGTTAGATACTGCTAACAAAAAGACTGGGAAAGAGCTTGGTGTATCTCAAGGGATGAATTTCCTGCTAACTGATTTAAGGTTTCAGTTCCTTTAGTCATAAGAAAAGTAAATAATGTTCAAGAGGAATTTTTTATTTTACCTCAGAAGGATCAGGAGATCTAAACTCTGCTTTAGGCCTCATCCCTAACAAATTTACTGTGACCTAGGACACATCACATCTGTTTTCTGGTGCTTTGCTTCTGCTAATCTCAATCTAGTCTATTGTTTTTTAAACTAATATGCTTTTTCTCTCCTAACTTCATATCTAAATTTAAAAAATAAGTAACTGTTTTTAATATTCATTTTCCTTTTTGGTGCTTATGAAGTTCTCAAACAATTTTGTTTTCTGGATAACATAAGAAAAATGTCCAAAGAAAACGGAGACACTGGGAAAAGATAGTGGCAGCAAAGAAGAGCAAAAGAAAGCAAGAAAAAGAAAGACGAAAAGCTAATCGTGTAGAAAATTCAGGTAATAAGTCATATTGCTGATATAATCATAGTTATTTCTTAGCAAACTGGTACCAGCATGTTCCTAGGAGAGTAGGAATATTGTTTTGGGGTAAAAGCAAACATCTGGGAGGTAGGGCCTATTATCCTATTTTGTTGGGAATCAAAGCATCAAAGAAAGCAAAATTTAAGGCTGCCTTTCAGGCAGTGCACATATGTGTTTATATCCTCAGAAGCAGCAAGACTGATAACCATAGGTAACATTTATTCAGTGCCATGTACTAGACTCAGAGCTAGGAATTTTACATGGGTAACCCTAAGTGGTGGTTACTTTTATTATCCACATTTTACATGTGAAGAGACTAAGGCTCAGAGAAAAATAACATGCCCAACATTATAATCAGCACACATAAAATAGGTAGGTCACGGGGAAGGCAGTACAGCATGGAGAAGACAGTAATGACTTTATAGCATCTTACCACACTGATGGACAGTGACTGCAGTGGAGTGTGTGGGGGGAATTGATAATATTGCTGAATGGTGTTGCTCATGTGAAACTTTCATAAGATTGTATATCAATGATGCCTTAATTTAAAAAAGCACTACAAAAATAAATAAATAAATAACATGCCCAAGATCATATAGGTAATAAATGAACAAACTCTAATTAGACCTAACAGTGTGCTCCAGAGTCTACACTCCTCACCACTGTGCTCTGATACCTAAATTACGTAGTGAATGAATGCTTTGCACAAATTTCAGGTTTCTCTTCATATGAAAAGAGCACTCACCTAGCTGAGGAGATTTGTTTCTTGATGAATATTATTACTCTGTTTGCCCACTTTTGTTCCTTTCTGATATTTCTACTCTAGGCATCTGCCCCCAGCACAGCAAACGTTTTCTGAGATCCTTAACCAGGGAGAGACTTTTGGAAGCCAAACACTCAGGACCAAGACTCTGTATCGATCTGAGTATGACCCACCACATGTCTAAGAAGGTAGAACATTCACTAAACTCCAAACTCCTGCTCACTGAGGGACATCCAGAAGGATGCTTTCACCAAGAGCATGACCAGCTCCAGCTTCTGTGATTCTGTAGTAAACCAGCTGAAGTGTTTAGTTTTCACACATGGCTACTAAGTTCTGAGATGGCTGTTATAAAGGATCAGGAAGAGAATAGACATCCTCTGGTTCAGTTTACAGATTTTTACTTTATCTTCTGTTTTGAACCTAACACATTTATCTGTGTGTCCATGGTGTCCCTAGTACAGGTGGACCCTTTCATGTTCAGTTTTCCAGAGATGAAATCTTTGGCCTTCTGCTGGGGAGAGGAGTATTTGGCTAGTTGCATATTGTGGGGTCAGTACCTGATGGGAGGTCTTCCTGCAATGCATGTGTTTTAATTGTCTCCCATTCACCCTATTGGTGAAAGAGGAATTTCTGCCCTAGGGTTCTAGGGATGGCTAAACATAAGATACTTGACACTGAACAGACAAGATCAATAGCAGTTTATTAGTCACATGAACTCAGTCCAGAGGCAGGATGACACTGCATGCCATGCAGAACCATGTGGGGTTGTATTTGGTAACAGAACAAGCCAGGAGCTATGGGAAGCAGGCTTTGTAGTATCAAGAGAGTGGGGTGCCCCCTAGTTCCTACAGGAAGATGTAATTGTTTGCTGGCATAACTCTGTGGGCTGGCAGGGAACTAGAACCCATTACTCAGGGATAAGCAGGAACTATGTGTGGTCCCTCTGATAGAAAGGATGTTTAACTAGGGTACCTTATCCAAGGGAGCAGAACTGGGGGAGGAACTTGCAGTTAGGGGCCATTCAAGAACCTGGCTTCACCAGATGTTAAGGTAGCACACAGTATTGGGACTTAAATTTAGGACTTACACCACAAAACCAAATCTGTTTTCCAGCATCCCTGTTGTATGTGCTAGTGTTTGATGCTTTTCAGAGAAATTAGGAAAACTAAAAATCTGGGGTTTTTATATGGAGCCTGTAACTATAATCCTTTGAAAAGGTCAACCAAGAATTTCCTACAACTGAGATACCAGATTAAATCAAACCCAAAGCTTTTTTTTCTACTAAATCTATTAGGCCATATTATGAAACTACCTTTCTATAATGGTGATCTCTTTGAATCAGGTTGGAAAGTTAAAACTTCAATCCTATTACATTTCCTGGAGTTAGAGAAAAGGTGCCACATTTATCTGGTGGAGTATAAAAATGTCTTGTAGTAATCTAACCTCTTTTTAATAAATAGTAAATATTACATGGTAAGATTTTACATAAAAGCTAAAGAACAATTTTATCATATTAGATCTATAACATCAGGTCCAGAAGGAGGGGGACTTTTCAGTTTCTACATTAACTCACTATTTCTGGGCTAGTATCATTATCTTCACTTTGACCTATAAGGTGTGATGCCATGGGGGTGAATGTGCACACCCATGTGTATACTCACTCGTGGCATGAATGGGGCCTATCTAGTCCATGAAGTTTCCCAGAGTAGTGGTCAGTGAACTTACTGGGTAACCATTTGTCGATAATGAATTTAGAACGAGTGTGCATGTTGTCAGCCTAAGTTCTTATTTCTTTGAGGAATTAAGTAGACTGGCTGGACAGATCCGGAGGTTGTATGGATCAAATAAAAAAGCTGACAGGCCATTTTGGATCTGCCTCACTGGATTCACAGCAGATAGCCCCCTGTATGAAGAGTGTTTGAGGATGAATGATGGATTTTCTAGTTACCTGGTAAGCCTTATTTTACATATTATTTGAATTGTCATCTGAGAAGTAGGTTGTGGGATAAGGGTAAATTATTTTTAATTTTTTTCGTATTTTGATGTAAAAAATATATGTATATTTTTTGTTCATGTATATATAAAACACACATATATGCACACACGTGTGTGTATATGTATATATGTTTTCACTATTATAATACAAAAAAATTTAGAACGTCTTACCTGTTCTTATATTATAAATTTTTCAGCCTTCCACTGCATTGGCAAACTTTACTCCAGGAATGTTTTGGGGAAATGCCATGATTTCTTTTACGTTCTCAGTAGTACAGAATTAGAAACCTGAGATTTGAGAGAAGACAAAGAATCCTTATGAAAGTAATGCAAATTTTAGATGAGTTTTAGCAAGTACTGAGTTACTTTGCAACTCTTTCCCTAGGATCTTGTAAACACAGTGATTGCCATATAGGCAGAAATCCAGTCGATTCCTAAGAAAGGCCACTATAAATGCCCTTGCGTGTCTGCATTATGTAACTGAGACTAGGCAGTGTGGCCTTGCCTAGAGCACCCCGGAGGCAAAGGGTGTGAAGAGTACCCTGGGGGGTCCACACAGGAGCTGTGGGTGCTGTTACTGTCTTAACAGTCCTCCTCTAGTGCAGTTGTTTCCAGCTTTAATTCTGTAAGTGTGTTTTATGGTTTCTGTCCTAGAGCCAAACTCACTCTCAGGGCCACATAGCCCTCTTGCTTTCCTTTCTTCATGCCTTCCTGGGGTAATTCCCTCCATTTTGAATGCTTCCTCCTTTTGTACAGGTCAATCTCACCTCTTTTCAGAAACCCAGTTCCAGTGTTCCCTTCACTACAGGGTCTTCCTGATATTGTCATTCCCTCTCTCTAGTCCTGGGACGTGCTTCCTGTGCCTCTGTTAGGGCCTCGTTACCACTTTCTGTCTCATTTTGTAGGGTGGAATGTCTTTGCCTTTCTCTTCCCCTCCCCGAGCACTTTCTGAGAGCAGCTTGTTAATCATGCAACCTTTGATTCACCTGGAACCATGCCTGATAGAAACTAGATGCCCAATAACTAGTTGCTGCAGTGTGGGTTATGTCTTAACGTAGTTCACACTACATTGGATTATTTGCACTTTTCAGCTAGACGTAACAGAAGAAGACTGCTTTAGTTTGTTTCCTCTGGAAACCCTTGTGTACCTGACTCCTGACTCAGAATATGGTATGTACTTTAATACCTGGATTCATGTAGCACATTGTTCCCAGCCCTTTGTTTCTTTACTCCCTGTCAGAATTTGTTAAAGCCACCCAAGGCATTAAAAAAAAAAGTGAACATTAATTGCACACCTCTTAAGGATGGATATCTCACTGGATGCTTTGCATATGTCCTACCACATGCACACAGCTGCACACAGTTAGGGTCTCCATCCTCCTCTGGACCTTGTGAGCTATCTGGCTGTCCTTCCCATTTCCCTGGTTGGTCCCTGCCACTGACCCTTCCTCCTTGGATCAATGCTAGGTATATACAAGAAAACCATCCGTTTTGCATAATTTTCAAATTTATTGGTGTTAACTTGATCTTAGCCTTCTATTCTAATTATTTCACATTCCTCTGTGATTTTCATTTTGTCTCCTGAGTCCTAATGTAATTTGAGTCTCTTACCTTTTTCTTGATTAGATATGCCAAAGGTTTGTCTGTTTAATTGGCCTTTTCAGAAAATTAGCAAATTTATTATATTTTTTGTTTTCTTCTGCATTGTTTCTTTTATCATTCATAATGCTTTCATTTTCTTTGGATTTAGAAATTATAAAATAGATTTGATCTCAGTGGCCTTCATTTTTTCATTAGCTCTTGAAGATGTTGATCCAAACAAAGTTTACATCCTTGGTGGACTTGTGGATGAAAGCATTCAGAAGGTAAGTCTACATTTTAGGCCCAGCAACTGTGTACTGAAAAGTGGTGCTTACTTTTAGAGGCATCTGCCTTGTCATAATCTTACCCAAAAGGCCTAAAGACTCAGAGGGAATAGGAGGAAGGAGCAAGGAGCCTATTCTGCCTAGGCTGGCCTTCCCATAGTGTAGTTCTCTTTGTCCTCATCAGCAATGTCAGCAATCCAGGCCTGACAGAATTCAGTCAGGAATTAGAGTGTTTGATAATTATGTAAGTGGGGTTGTTGGACTCCTTTCTTCTCTCCTGTTCTCAGTTCTGCAAGGATAACTCTGATCTTAACCAGTGAAGCATTGACCCAATATTCTTACCAGGTATTTGTTCTTTGTGAGAGAGTAGTTTGCTCCTTCCTAGGCCAACTTCCCCTCTGACACAAATCTTAACCCATAATCTCAACTTTAGGACTGTCCATATTTCTTTTGTTGAATTGGAGTTTATTGGAATACTTGGAGTTTTTAAATATGTTTCTGTTATACAAATATTTGTTGAGGTGATTGCATTTGTTTATATTTAGTAATCATATTGCATAAGTCATGAATAATATACAATAGTTACATTTGTATGAAAAAAAGGATACAGTGAGAAATAATCCTCCCTCTCATCCTTGTCCCCATGTCTCTCACCTGAAGCAACCAGTTTTCTTGTGTATCCCTCTTAATAGAGTCTATGATCATGCAAGTATATGTGAGCATATTTTATATATAGATTTATATTCTCATATTTATATACGTTTTTCTTATTTGTGAGTGTATTTTATGTATTTTTTTCATATATGTATGAGATATACATATTTAACAGTTTTTTAACTGAATTGCATTTATTAAAAAATTGTGTTTCATGACTTCAAAGCAATAATCTAAAATGTAGGCAGAGGGAGGAGGGAGAATTCTCTTAGGAATGCCAGTTAATAAATGAGAAATGCATACTAGAGTTAAAAAATCATCATTCTGTCACTTCCAATTTACTTGTTGATTCAGGGAATTGATTGAATGAAATTTCGTTTGTAGGGGAACTGGCTATTCACATGGTCTCAAAGTATCACCCCATAGATTACAAAGGCAAAAAAATATACCATTACAATGGTGTGATCTGGAGGTCACCATCTTAACCAAATGATCAAACTTAGAATTACCTATAGTGACATGTGCCTCCTGATATGATGGAATCCCACCTGTGAGGTATTCTTACTGGAAGATGTTTAAATTGAATTTAATTGTGTGGAAACAGATGGAGAATGTAAAAATTTGTTAAAGCAAAACAAATTTGCAAATCTGCAAAACAACTGGACAGGCTTTCAAAAAAAGTCTATGTAGTGAAAACCAAAATAATCAGGGGGTGCTGATTTAGATATAAGAGATTACAAAGACGTAAGAACCAGAGGTAGTCTTCCATAGCAAAGCGACAGTCCCTTTTTTGGGGCAGAAAAGTCTAGAAGGTTAGTGAGCAGCATTTGATCTATAGATGTGCAATTTTAACATATTGTCTTTTATCTCTCCAACATTAAAACTGACAAATAACTGGCACAAAAATTTGTCAGATGTGTATAACCTTTTAGTTGTTACTGGAGAGCTTGGCTTCTTCACAGAAATAAGCTAAGAACACTTTTTCAGGGAAATCATTTTGTCTTTGAATATTAAGAAAACAGAAAACAGTAAGAAATATTTAAATACTAAGAAAACAGTAAGCTCCTCCAGCATAGCATCTCCAGGGTAAGTCTCCTATTAATTTTGAATTGTGTACTCTAGTTCAAAATGATTGTAAAGGAACAGACTTAAAAAAGAATCATAGCTCTATATGTAAAGCAATGTTATCCTTCAAAGAGGATCCTTTGAATAGCTATACCTTTATCCCATCTCAACTGCATTACTTAAAACATTTTTTGAAGTTCTGTCTTGGAACTGTGTTTCATGTGAGTCTGAGAGGCAGGCAGTCCTGTGTCAGAACAGAGAAGGTGCTAGGCCTGCTTCACACTGTTTCGGTTAGATCACACTCTTGATAGGTAGTTGATTATAGGACCATAAATGAAAGGACATTGACAAGCTAGAAAAAAATAGACAGTTTGATCTGAATGATGAAAGGACTCAAAACTAAGTCATAGTCAAGTAAGAGTTTACAGAAGTGAGATTAACAGTCTGGAGAAGAAAGGATTCAAGGGGATATGATCATTGCCTCCAAGTATCTGAATGGCCATCTTGTGGAAGGGCCGTTTTACCTCCTTGATGTGGCCCTGGAGGCAGAGAAATAGGATAAATGAGTGGAAGTCTCAGGGAAAACAGAAAATTTGGCTCAGTATCAAGAAGAATTTTTATTAACCCATACTGTCAAAATTGGAAGAGTTTCCCCAGGATGATTGAATTCCCTGTCACAAAAGTTGTCCATTTAAGGTCAGAGGCCACTTGGGAGAGAAGTCACAGAGGATAGACAAACAATGCTTGGGGTTGGAGTGGAATAGTTAACTATTGAGGCCCCTTCCTAACCCACATATATCAATTATCCAAGTAATCTAAATATTTCTTTTTAATTCTGAACTTGTGAATAGGTAGATCTTTCCAGAGTGCTTACAAGGTAGTGAATATAACTTAAACTTCATTTCATGACTCAGGGACATCTTTAAAGGGACATCAGTTCTGTACTCTAACCCTTAATAGCCTCAGATTGTTAGGGTCTTGGAGACTAGACTTCCTGTGACTCCTTTCTACAGCTTTCAGAGCCCTTCCTACTGGGCTGTGTGCTGTCACACTGTGCTGCTGTTTTGTTGGTTGTGGTGTAGCCGACTTGAAACTTGTCTACTTTATCTATTTGCTGCTACCAATTGGCTGTGAACTGAAAATTTCAGATATCCAGATTTGGGTCTTAATGAGTTAGGGCCAGGTGTGTTCTCTGTTTAGACTGCTTGGACTTTTGGCTGCAGATTATAGCTACAGATAGGCCTCTTTTTATTCATTTCCTTCTTAGTTCTTAGTAGTAGTGAGTGTGGGAGCTAATGGATAAATGAATGTCATGTAAGTGAGGTGTTACCACACAAGCCATTTCTTACTTGGGACAGGTAAATAGTGTCTGCAACTTTTTCTATTCTGCCATAACCTTCTGATTTTTAATACATTTACCATTTAATTATGATTACAGATGAAAATTGGGTGGTGGTTAAATGGGGATTCTCACAATTTGCTATGCACATTACAATGAAAATATCTATGTATTCTTTTTGTAAGAAAAATACTTGACTGTGATTTACAGAAGGTGACATTTCAAAAAGCCCGAGAGCACTCTCTCAAGACAGCCCGCCTGCCAATCCAGGAATACATGGTCAGATGCCAGAATGGGAGAAACTATCACTCAGAGATACTGGCCATTAATCAAGGTATTGTTTGTTCACATGGCCCACGCTTAACATGTTAGTTCTGTGCTGCTGCTTTGCATTGTGTTTAAGTATAAATGGCCCTTTAGGCAGTTTCCCCTATGACTACTGTGCTTGGACTTTACTGCATGTACTTTGTGACATCCTTCTGGCCTCTCAGAGCCATTTTTCATTTTCTTCCTGGTTTCCAACTATGTTTATAATACTTGGAATTGTTCCCTCGGCCTAGAATGCCCTGCCTTCATTGATCAGTGAATTCCTGTTTGTCCTTCAGGACTCAGTTCAGGGTCATCTGGGATGCTCCCTTCCCCTTTTAGGCCATGTCAAGGACCCTCTCTGCGTTCCCACTGGACCATGTTTTTCTGTTGCAGCAGTCTGTTCACAGGCCTGGATCTCAGTTTAGGCTGAGGTCCTTATAGGCAAGCAGGGTTTGTGTCTTTGCCTCTATCTCCCCAGGATCTAATACTGTGTGGTGTAGAGTAGGTTTATTGAAAGAAATATTCCAGAACACCCTTTTCCTTGTTAGTCATTCACTAATTCTCTTTTCCTTCTTTGTGGTCACTGTTTTCTGTTTACCCTTCTAACAGTATTTGATATCCTGTCCACTTACTTTGAGACTCAAAACTGGCCTGAAGCACTCAAGAAAGGAGTTTCTTCCAGAAAAGGCTATGTTCTTCAGAACTCAGTGAAGTGATGGGCGGCTGCAGGCGGCGATATTGCTGGCGGGGCCTTGACCAAAGAGAAGGTGGCAGTGGCACTCACATGTCTTTATTGATGTCTTGAATCTGCAGTAGGATATGTTACTAATAACAGGGACCACACTTGATGCTTTTTTGTATCTCCCATCGTGCCTGGCACACAGGAAGTGCCCAGATATATGTTGACTTAAAGTTTACATAACAAATTAACCTTAAAACTACATGGCTTTGGATGTATTAATTCATCTTTTGTACATCTACTTGTGAAAAACCTACTCTTTAGATATAGCTTAAATAATTAAATAATCGTTGTTCTATCAGTTTAATTTTCACTGAACTGGCATCACAAAGTTGTATGACTTTCTCTAGCCTCCTCTGATGGTGCTGATTTTCCACAACTCAGTAATAGTTGTTACATATGCTTTACAGGATCAGCCTATCCTAACCTAGCCCTGATTTAAGCCCCCATAGCACTTTGTTCTCACCTGTGGCTCCTACCTTGTCTCCCCTATTCTGAGTATGGGTGTGGAAGACCTCTCTCTTCCTAATGGTAGCCTCTTAACAGGGCAATTCGAGGGAATATCTTTATATCCTCCTGAGTTTTATACAAACTAGATTCTTCATATATTTGTAATTAACAAGTCAAACTGAAAAGCAGAAACACAGTATTCCTAAGTCTAACTTGAAAATAGCCAGAAAGTACATAGCATCTGACACAAGCATGTTAAATAACCTCTTACTACATACAGTGATCCCTTTTCTCATGTCCTAGTTAGATATAGTTGCTTTAGGTACTGTGGCCAGTTTGGGTTAGTAAACTTGAAAGCTAAGCTGTTAGCAAATTCAGAAAACTTTTTTCCATCTCAAAAGAACCAAAAGGTTACCTGTCTGCCCTACCCACTCCCCTTCGGAATTTAATCCCTCAGGAGCTATGATTACTTGATAAATTTTATCAGTCTTTTTATTACTGAAAAACAGTCCAGTCCTCAGGAAATATCTTTAGGAATACAGAATGTTCCTTGGTCTTTAAACATATTGAATGAGTTCTATTATCTTTGTCATCCAAAGGGGACATCCTATGGATAGACTTTGGGCATCTGTAAATCTTACATTCTCAGGAAGGTGTCTGACACCAGAACCACTGAGGCGGATCATCTGCCAGGAGATACCAAATAGCATGGAAGAATTTCCTCTCTACCTCTATCATGAACCTGTGCCATTTTTTTCAAAACCTAGACAGGTAGTTTTTGTTTGGCTTCTAGGAAATGATCTTAGCAAAATAAAATGTGGCTGGACTTGGATTCAGAGATCCTCACTGTAGTGTTACTTATAGAACCAGAAAACTGGACATATCCAAAATATCCTGAAAACATTGCAACAGTTTTTAATAGTAATTGTGAAAAAATATATTTCATGTTGTTTGAGGTGGACAATGTATACTACAAAATAGTCTGTAAGGTATAATTCTGTAATTCCAGTATGGAAAACATACAATCCCATAGAGGGTTGAGAATGTAAGCCAAGTTAAAAGTCTGTGCCTCGGTTTCTCCAAGTAGGAGAAGTGTCTTATGCAGTTACTAAGAATAAATGAGTTAATCCCTGCAAAACACTTGGGACAATATTTAGTACGTGGTAAGCACCCAGTAATTGTTAGCTGTTATAGACTCATCCACTAAATAATGAGGTTTCAGGTGGTTGTTTGCTTTATACTTTTTATGTGTTCTACATTTCTTTTGGTGAACATGCTTTACTGTTGTCAGACAATAATTATTTAGTGCTCCTTTCCAGTATTATAGAAGTTGCACTCTAACAAAACGGAGTTAACACCAAATAAACCATAATTCTTTTAGTAAATTTTATTGTAAAGAACAAAAAAAATACATCATCATTTTATAATGATTTTTCTCACCTACAAGAACATGGGTAACAACCAGTAACTTTATAAAAATGCTTTAAGACTAATAAGACAATATGTACCTTTACATCTTGTCTTCTAAAGATTTCATGGGGAGAGGTTCACCTGAAAAAAATTTTCCCGGAAAACCCAGTCTCTTGGCTCAACCAATCCATTAAAAATTCCACATAGATCAACTTTCTGCCAGTCTGGACAAGATCTGTTTTCTCTGATCTGCTGTCATGTTGTCACAAGCTTCTAAGATGTTTGCCAAAATTAAGGTCTGCTGAATGGTTTTTGCCTTAACCCATATTCTTCCGTTCATTCCAAATACTATCTCCAGTGGGTAGAGTTTTCCCACTTCCTGTAGGATTTCACAGTCTGGAGCCAGCAGCCTATGAAGAAGAAGAAAGAAAATGAAATTTAATAAAGCGGTAGGGTGTGACCTGATTTTCCTTTAGAAGGACACTCCTTCTGGGGCAGTTCTCCATTGCTACTCAAAGCCCCACCAACATCACTCCAAGAACAAGGCTGCCCCCTTTCTTCCAAGCAGCTTTCCACTTAGCAGTATACCAGACATCACCAAAGTGGGCAACCCTTTACAAAAAAAATCAAACTCCCGTGTCACCAGCTTTACAACAAATGTATAAGGTTCTTCTCCTACCTTGTCAGAGCACCCTAATTCTAGGCTTTACAATTACAGCTTTTTTATTATCTATGGTGCTAAAAGTTATTCCCTGGTATTAAATTCAGTACTTGGTCAGAAGTGTTGACTCCTTCAAACCACAAGGCTGCTTGGTTAACAGCATGGTCCTCTAATGTCTAAAACAGTAGCCAAAGAGGCATGCAAGACAGCTCTGATCCTCAGTGGCTCTAGAAGTAAAGCCCTTTAATGGGACACAGCTTTGGGTAGGTAAAGGTCTAACCACCTAAGAAAGAATCTGCCCCTGGGAACTATTGTATCTACCAGGAAAGAAGACCAGGGGCTTCTATGAGTATCTACATTAGGTTGAGGATCGTATCAGCCTACCTAGATTTTGCCTCCATTTTTAGAAAAATTTTTGGTGATTCTGTACAATTGTAAATTACATCTGCATTCAAGTGATTTAGAAGGGGGAAAGTCAAGTTTTCACATTCAAGATGAGTATATATATCAGCTATAAGGAAAAGAAGACATTCTAGAAGAGAAGCATAGATTCCGTATCAACACAAACTACACCATGAAATACATCTGAATCTGATACAGTCACATGGAGAGGATGGGACTAAATGCATGTGTTTATAGCTGTGCTAAAAAGGATACTGATTTTTAACTTTGAGGAGATTTAGATGTTATCACAAAGAATTCAAATCCCAAAGATTAGCTTTCCAAGAAGGTATAATTATAATATAGGCAAGCAAGATGGTATCAGGACTTACTTTCTAATTAGGCCCAAAGTCACTTTAAAAAGCAGACCATCTTGTCCAATCACACCCATTCCATTGGCTCGTCCACAGCTGTCAATACAGACCATCTCTGGTTCCATATCTTTATTAGCAACCACAAATTGGCCATAGATGAGATCTCCAACCTACAGTGATAATTAAAAGACATTCATCTCCTCACAGCATTCTTTAGGTGCTGCTTTGGTTCCTTCCCATAGGCAGTGATGCCAGCCACCTACAGTGTACCAGACAGAGGCTGAGACTGGCTACACTTCAGGATTCCCATAGTCACTCTAGAGTTGAGTCTTAAAAGAAAACAAGATTAACACATTTACCCTCCGCCTTTACCCACTGAGAAATCCCCAGACTGGGAGCTCACTGCCAGAGAGCACCTCTAGGGTTACACTGTCCAATATGGTAGCTGTTCCCCACATGCAGTTATTTAAACTTACATTACAATTAGATTTTTAAAATTTAGTTCCTGTTGCAATAGCCACATTTCAAGAATTTTCAACAGCTGCATGTGGCTAGTGGCTAATACACTGGTCAGTGCAGGTGTAAAACACTAGCATTGTCACAGTTCTATTAGACAGCACTGCTTTAAGGGAATTACAGAAGATGGATAGGTGAAACTTCTGGTATGAAAATTATTCAAAGCAAAATGGAACAGTGGTAATTCATTAATACTTCATGCAAGATTTACTTAAAACCTCAGAGCTGAACTTCAAAAGTGATGAAACTAAGGAAATGGGAGTGTGAACTTGTTAAGTACCTACTATTTATGGTGACTATAGGACCTAGAGAGGAATTAGACAAACCAGAGAGGAACAAAACATTCTCTGCTTTCAGAAGCATTTGGTCTTGGATAGCATAGGATATACATAAAAACAACAAAATTCATTCAAGACTGCAGTAAGTGCTACAGCAAAGTTGGGGGGAAAAGAGATGATTAAAGATGTAGGAATGGTTTTACAGTGATGGTTTTTAGCCTGGGTCTCAAAAGACAGCAAGTATTCCATAGGCTGAGAAGGGGATAGAGCAGTTCAGACAGAGGCAATGGCAGAAGCACAAGTACAAGGGCAAGAAATTGTGTTCAGTAGTGCTGTTGAACAGTTTGGTGTGGCTCAAGCATGGCAGATACAATGATGGATATGGGCAGATTTCTGGAGTATAACATCATGGGAATGTGCAGGCTTTGAAGAATCTTTCTTTTTGGAGAAAGGGGAGTGTAAGAGGCTGTCAGCAATCAAAAGCCTAGATGGAGGGGCAAAAGGGTACAGGCAAGATGTTAATGAGGACACTGAACCAAGTCTAGTCAAGAGGAAGCTAAGCCTGAACTTGCACAATGTAGATACAGGATGGACATGCAGAAGATCGGAGACATAATCAAATAGGATCTAAAGACACATAAGCAGTGAGTGAGAAGGGGCAAAGAAACCACCAAATTTCTGGCATAGGTGGGCAGAAAGAGTGTGGTTATGATACCTGAAAAGCCCAAATTGAAAACTTGAGCTAAGAAGACTGTTCCTCTGTCAGCTCCAAGAACGAACTGTTGGGCACAGTAATATGACTTAAGTGTGAGGTGTTAGTCCCAGGACCTATAATCAGGATGGATGGGTGGCTGGTACAACTAACACCACTTATCCATCCTTCCTCCCTAAGCCTATGGCTATGTCCTTGGATTTGTCCATTGGATTTGGAAATAACAGGTAACAATAGAGAGAATAGATAAAATCTTTCAACTCAGTAGAGGTAAAACATGCCCCAAAAGAGCAAATGAGAAATAAGTGTGTAGCTGTGGTCCCAGAGTTGGAGCACTGGAAGAAAATCAGAGCCTGGCATGATTACACAGATGCTCAGAGATTATCCTATGTGAAGTGGGAAAATAGGTCATGCTTAGAAGATGATTCAAGTGGCCTTATGGATATCTGAGTACTTCTGGATATTTGTATGCTTTTCTTTTGAAACCAAAAGGTCCCATCATTACCTGCACATTTG